ATGAGGATGAGGATGAGGATGAGGATGAGGATGAGGATGAGGATGAGGATGCTCTGGTCATATCAGAACTTCTTCCACACTACTAAACATGCAGAGGTCAGTGAATAACTAGAATTGCTGGATCCAAATGGGCTGACTGAAGGATGAGAAAGAAATACACTAAGTTAAAAATAGAGTGTGCTGGTTCCTTCAGCCTATTGAATCAAATGCTCTTCCTCCTAGCAGCCCACTATCAGAAATCCAAGGACACTGGCAGACCTTCCCAGCTTCCATTATTATTCTCCCTATCCAGTAATAATCATTTCAGGATGCTTTCTTCCTTTATTGTTATCAAGCTGGCAAGCATGCACTGGCAGCAAAACTGATGTGATAGTCATGTCCAGAAAGACACCACCAGCTATTACACCCCACAGTCTCTTCTCTCTGAGGCCAGCACAGATAAATAATTCTTTTCTATTGTTACCCAAAACGATATTTCTCCTCTACAATGAAGTTTGCTCAGTCTGGAAATAATTTTACCTAAGCAAATCTATTTAAAAGTCTTATCTGTTTTCTCTGATTAAACTTCCTGTGTTGTTCTGAAATCTTGCCAAGGACTCTGGTTTCTATTCACACTGTCTGTTTTGATGAGATCAATCTAACCATTCAAGCAGACAATAGGACTCCTCTACTCCTATTCCCTTGAGCTACTATGATGGAAGCTGCATTGAATGGAGCAATCCTTTTAAGAATTTATACAGCACTGTATGCAATAATGCGTATGATTATATCGGTAACAAAGCAAACACTCCTGTATGCTAACCAGTGCTCTCAAATGACTTTCCAGAATAAAAGGTTATTTAACATCAACATACATTTCAATCTATGTGTGAACCAGAGGATACAAGAGAAGAGAGACAGTGAGCCGTCCCCTCACAGGTCTGTAAGAGGAGTTAAGGGATAGAGAGTCAAGAAAGGAAGAGGTAGTGAAAGTTATAGAGAGGATGAAGGAGTTAAAGACGGGAAAAGAGGGGGAAAAGGGATAGAGAGTCAAGAAAGGAAGAGGCAGTGAAAGTTATAGAGAGGACGAAGGAGTTAAAGACGGGAAAAGAGGGGGAGGAGTCGGGGGAGAGAAAAGGAGGGAGATAGATGTTTTCTTAACATCGGAGGAGGAAGAAAAATCTGGGGAGATGAGAAAAGTAGTGGGACCAGGGGAAGAATGGCAAGAGGTAGAAGGCGAAACGAGAGTGTTTAAGATACCACAGAAGGAAGGATTGGGCTGAGAAAGTAGGAAACTCAAAGAAACGGCGATAAAAGGGGAAGAAGGAAAACTGATCATAGGAGGACTACGACCAGAAGAATGGACGGTCTCAGTGTACCCTCAAGGACAGAGTCCGTGGAAGAAGGTGATCTGACCAGGACTGGTTCAACCGAACGAGAAGCCACCCGAAGGAGACTGGTCTCGTCATCCTTGTTGCGGAACGATCTGCACAGTGAGGAGTGGCTGTTTGAGAAAGCCAACGGACCAGGAGCGATTCAGACAGGCCTTCCGTTAAAGAAAAACAGTTATGAAGAAACGTTGCCCTTGTGGTGCGCAGATTTTTCTGTCAGTATTGAACAAGTTGACCCAACTGAGGTGGTTGCTGAGAAATCACCAAGTTTTGCTAAGAAAGAGTTTGTATTTAAAGAACCTTCTCTCTTGTCGTTTCCTGCCAAAAACAAGGAACTGACACAGACAAAGAACCAGATTTGTTTGGGCTCCAATGTCTCCTCCAGTTGTACCTTCTCTGCCAGTAACCTACAAGCTAAAGCCTCAGGGCCAAAGTTTTCCTCCTCTACCTCTCCAAAAAAGCTATCCCTCTTATTCCACGCTTTCAACAAGTTCACACTATTCAGAGTGAATTTTCTATTTAGCTATACTAGATAGAAAAGGGTATATAATCTACAACTGCCTGGACTGCCAACAGAACAGCTAAATAATTACAGTTAGTTAATGGATCAGGTTTTAATCTCTGATTTCAAGCCAAAACAATCTTCTTCCTGAGGCAAGAAGGAAGGTACTACAGTATCTTGCTAGTATCATTTCTATGGCACATAGAAGCCATAATTAGTTCCCTCAGCTCTTCCTTTGACAGAATTTTAAGGAAACATACACTCACTGGTCCAGGATGCTAGTTTTTCTTGCCTGTCAGAATAAATCTGAAATGCTTGGCAGTCTCTCTTATTTACCTAAAATTCCTCTACAACTATTTTTCTAATTCTCTTTTGATAAGTTAGGGCAAGCAAGTGAGAAGTGTACTCTATAACACACCATTGCTTATTTAAAATGCCTTGAGAAATCTTTGGTTCTGCAGATGTTTTGGCCAACAATTTCCATCAGACTTACAGTAAATTAGCATGATTGGTGGTAAAAATATATATGTATAGTAGCAGTTGTAGCATAACACATCTGGAGGGCCAAAGGAAGGCCCCTGCCATCAAGAAAATGTAGCTGTTATCTGGGAAAACAAACTTGCCGGCTGCTTTGGTAGACATCATATAATACTATTAGAATGGAAATTCAGCAAATGCAAGCTTAACATCTTGAAACTACTTTCCATCTTTGGAGAAAATAAATATGCCAAGAAGCACAGAAACAAAGCTCATAATCACACAAGCAGTGTGTGTATTGATCGGGATTGTGCTTGTGTCATGTACGGAAACTAGGGAGGGCTGATGCAGACAGAAGGCTGGCTTCTTACAATCTAGAAATACACGCTTTTCCCTTCTAGGAGAGAACTGACATATGTCCTCATCAGCACCAGAGACCAGTGTTGACCCATTCTCTGAATTTCAATTCGAAATGTCAAGATTAGTGGGCAACTCCAGACTCACTTAACAGTGTCAGGACACTTTTACACCAAAAGTTTTCAAGAGACACCTTGTCTCGTGGCATTGAAATTTCAACAATGGACAGAACAGCGCTAATGACGATAAGACAGGAGAGTATGGATAACCCCTGCACAATATTCAAGGGATACTGGTCAGCTCACAGATGGAACATGAAAGTCAGTGTTGGTCATTTATATTTAAGAAATAATCAAGTCCATGCATTTGAATAAATGAGCTAACTCAAGCAACTAGAGTGAATTAGAAAGCCTGAATTCATTGCATGAGGAGGTGCGGGGGAGGCAAGTCACAGAAGGGAAGTGAGAGCATTCTTCAAATGTAGAGGTAGAAATACAACAGAGGACAAACAAAAGGCATCCATAGTAGCAACAAATACATTCAGTTTTGTTTTGAAGAAATGCTTAAATATTAGAGATGTCTGATTCTGAAAAGTTTCCTCTGTAACAGTAATGGGAGAAAATGATCTTACTCCTTCATTGCTGTTATTATATGTTGTCAAGTCACTTTTAACTACACTTACAGGCTTCTCAAGATATGTGATATATTTAAAGGATAATTAAGGGATGGCAAATAGAAGGCAAATAGAAGGGGAAGATATGGAGGCAGTGATAGATTTTACTTTCTTGGGCTACATGATCACTGCACATGGTGACAGCAGCCCCGAAATTAAAAGACGCCTGCTTCTTGGGAGGAAAGCGATGACAAACCTCAACAGCATCTTAAAAAGCAGAGACATCACCTTGCCAACAAAAGTCCACATAGTCAAAGCTATGGTTTTTCCTCTAGTGATGTATGGAAGTGAGAGCTGGACCATAAAGAAAGCTGACCGCCAAAGAATTGATGCTTTTGAATTGTGGTGCTGGAGGAGACTCTTGAGAGCCCCCTGGACTGCAAAGAGAATAAACCTATCCATTCTAAAGGAAATCAATCCTAAGTGCTCATTGGAAGGACAGATCCTGAAGCTCAGGCTCCAGTACTTTGGCCATCTCATGAGAAGAGAAGATTCCCTGGAAAAGACCCTGATGTCGGGAACGTGTGAAGGCAAGAGGAGAAGGGGACAACAGAGGATGAGATGGCTGGACAGTGTCATTGAAGCAACCAACATGAATTTGACCCAACTCCGGGAGGCGGTGGAAAACAGGAGGGCCTGGCGTGCTCTGGTCCATGGGGTCATGAAGAGTCGGACACGACTTTACGACTAAACAACAAAAGGGACGCCATTGTTGACCCTCACTCCCAACTGTTTCCATGGCTGGGTAGGGATTCAAATCCAGGTCTCCTCAGTCCTAGTTTGTCAGTCTATCCTACACTGACTAGTTTATATGTAGGGCTAAATAACTGCAAGGTGGATATCATATGATCCCTTTCCTGGACATCAAAGTAATGTGTGAGAAATCCACTTTTGATTTTATTTTCAAAACCTTTTTTTGACCAAAACGAAGTACACAGGGCCGTGTACCTCATTTTAAAGGGGAATTGCACTTCACATGGCAACAATGGCACAGAAGGTTCCTGCGGCTGAAAAAAAAAAGAGTAGGCCGGCAATGTGTGCCCCACTCCTACCCTGGTTGGATCTTGGATTCCCAGCTCTGCTTCCTCTGGGGCTATTAGGAACCTCCACAACCAGAGGCTGGACTATATGAAGGCACAGCTATTAAAGTCACTCTTCGGCGGGATGATCAACTAGTTTTATTCAACAGAATCTGACTGACTGTTGCTCATGTAGAAGAGAAGTCTTGCATGTCCTTTTCCTTCAGGGTTGGATTGGCACCAGCTTTGGTGATACATTCCCTTCCCCCACTGCTTGCAGTCTGGTTCATCTGCATGTGTCATTTCTAGATATTTATTCTGTAAACTGAAGTCCATCTTGCTTGCCTGGGCTGCATAGGTTTCCATTAATTCCTGATTATCTTACAAGTTTGTCTTCCCCATACTATTAAACAGTTTGTTGGACTGCTAGTGTTCTAAATTTTCAATGATGCCAAATCCACAACTCTGCTTATGCAACAAGCAGTAACAAGCTGTCAGGGGACAAAATATCACAATGCCTTTAGATGTAGCTTTTCTCAGATGCAGCTCTAGGGCTTCTTCAGCATGGCTTAAAGCTGTACTAGAAGGCTGAATAGAAGAAAGAAAGTATGAAATAAATAATTACTAATTTTCTCTTACCGGTATAACTGAAAATCCTCTTCTGTAAATATATCATGGATTTTATCACCAAAGTATCTGGTGGGTAATAAACCAAAAAGAACATAAAATCAAAATCAGCGTCAAGGAAGCCTCTGCACCAGTCAACTGATGATTTTTTGTTAAGGCAAATACACATTTACTTAAACTACCGCTGTGAGCATGCAATTATTTCATGAAGTGGGAGTATTGCAGGATGAGAATTATTAAGATCAGCAAAGAAGAGCCACTCCAATTAATTAATAGATGCAATGGAAAACTGATTGCCAGCTTACAATCACGGTACAATTTATTTTGCTTTGCTTTCCAATGTACAGGCAGTATTACAGACTGAACTACAACTTGTGATGACTTCAGTGGTCTACTAAAAGAACAGCTTAATAATGCTTGATTATCATAGACTCTTTCGGCAAAGGCCAGGAAACTGCTGAAGAGTCTATCAACTGCCTGCTGAGTCTGAAGACTCCTCTCCCCCCTTTATAAATCCCTCTAATGGAGTAAGCTAAGAACACTACGGAGGGCAGTGCAAAAAGGGCACTGGGCCTCTGTGTTACCTGTACATGTTGACAAAATGCTTCCCCAAAGAAAGAGCTCCAGAGTGTAAGTCCAGAATGGAAGCCTGAGGTTGAAAACAAAACCGAAGGAAACAAATCAGCAACCGCTAAAAAGAGGAGACTCTCTGCAGGCCATATCCCTGTCTGTGCAATTGCAGACACCTACTTTTAAGCTGCATCAGTTATAAATATTCCCCACACAAGTCAGGGACTGGGGCAAGATGAAGTCAGCCATATATACATGTTGCAGGGCAGCACATAGATGTAAAGCGGACATCAGTTTGCCTGTGCTGTCAAAGCATTGTGCAGTAGGGGACACACACCCATTCACAGGATCAGTTATCGCTGATTCACTTATTTGTAGGCTGAAAATACTAAATAAAACGCTCCAGAAATACCTATTTATATGCATTTCCAGGGTGTATTTACCAGAAGAGACTATGCAATGTCTAGTGTTCAATACTTCTGTATTTTTTAGCATCCACTGGGGGAAGGCCTGGAACCGATCCCCCACAGATACCATGATCCTACTGTAATAACTATCTCCCGCCACCCCGTTTGCTTCTATCAAACACAGCAAAGTCTGGAGTACCACACGGTAAAGAAAATTATTTACCCATGTAAAAACGAGCAGCTGGTGGGAAATCAAAGGAGAATGGGGAAAAGCAAAAACTACAGACATGAAAAAAATACAGCAGTGATTAGTACTAAAGAGTAAATGATTAAGATGAACATGGGGTTGGAGAAGGAGAGAATTAACTTTTGAGAAGAGAAGATATGAAATCCTAAATGTCAAAGGCTACACGGACGACAATTAAAAAAAAAAGGGTAGATCATCTATGCTAAAGATCACTAAAAGTCAAGTGTTTTAGCTTTAGCTTTCACAAAAAGCCATCTCACAGCAGATGCTTCGGAAGGCAAAGGTCAGAATCCAACAATGCACTTGCATTAGATTCCACTGCATCGACCACAATCAGTCATGTTCTCCTCCTCCTACAAACCACCATATGGCCAAAAAGCTTGACATATCACTTGATATGCCCAAAGAAGTGGACTTCACATAACAATATAACACTTAGTCTTTAAGGTGCTATGGGTTTTTGTCTTTTTAAGTTTTTTAAAAAATATTATTAATTTTTTCCTTTAGGTTTTGCCTGAACTGCTTTCACAGATTAACATGGCTACCTCTTCTAAATCTACAATGATTGTTGTAGTTAAGTAAGGGAAGTATATTGTGGCTAAGGTTCTATATTGCCTTCTAGCTTATTTGGGTTTTTGTCTTTTTAAGTTTTTTAAAAAATATTATTAATTTTTTCCTTTGGGTTTTGCCTGAACTGCTTGCACAGATTAACATAGCTACCTCTTCTAAGTCTACAATGATTGTTGTAGTTAAGTAAGGGAAGTATATTGTGGCTAAGGTTCTATATTGCCTTCTAGCTTATTAGCAACCATTGCTATCATCACTTGAAAACACTCCAACAAACTGCCCCACCCCAACTGACATTGTGAGATATGAAAATCATGTTGGCTCTTGATTATTGTTAAATGAAGTCCATCGTTTAATTCCCAACCTAACTGTGTAGGAGAAAAAAAAAGGTTTCAAGCTGGCTATGATGCTCTAAAGTAGCTCAGTATGACAAGAAGGAGGAATCCAATAATTACATTTCACAGAGAAGCAGCCAAATTCGTGAAGGCACAGCCAAAATGAGTATTGTAGTCAAGGCAAATTTGCTTCAACAAAAGAAAATGTCAGCAATCAAGGACAGTTACTTTGTTTTGATTACTATTCTGTGCTCATTGCAGTACACCCCTTGCTAGATTAAAGTAAAAGTCAACATGTGCTGCTAATATACTGCCCCATAGCACTTAAAGCGCTCTCTGGACAGTTTACAGTTTAATTTGGGGGGCTGCACCTTGCCACTCCCACCCCTGGCAAGCTAGGTACCTACCAACCTTGGAAGCCTGGGTTAACCTTGAACAAGTCACCTGAGCCCGTTGGGATCGAAATCAGGTTGTGAGTAGTCTGACTGCAGTACTGTCAGACAGATTGTTTGTTCTTTCATATTGTTCATCACTGATGGGGGATTCGTTCATTCATTCATTCAATGAAGAGCAATAACATTAAATTATTTCACACAACCTTGATCAAAATACATGGGCACCAGTTCTGATAACACAAAATTAGCCTTCACAAATATCCAGGTGAAGCAACCAGATGTAAAGAAATAATTTCATTGAAGCGATGCTCCTGGCATCCATGGCAACAAAATGCAGATGAGTTGGAACAGAGGATACAAGTATGGTATGAAAAAAATATATATAACAGAAAAAGCACTAATCTTGTCTTTTCTCCTCCCAGGAGATGAACAGGGTGAAGAACAGGCATACTGGAGAGTAGCGAAGAACATAAACGCACCAGGAAGGTACAAACTGCCATGTATGCTGTGGCAAGTTGTTGCACTTTACATGTAAGGAGGCCACAGATAACACACAATAAACAAATTGCTAAACCACAGGTAAACCCATAGCAGTCATTCCTTGCCTAGGGAAGGAGCTGCTTCAAGCTAAGTTCATGCCATCACCAAGCAACTGCTTTTCAAACAACAGCTCCTGCTTGCTTGGGCAAGGAATATTTTTAGGAACAATAGCCTGAGAAAAAACCCATGCCGTTTTTTAAATCACACAACAAATGTTTCCTGGCCGCATGACATAAGGCCACAGCATCTTCATGTTCAACTCTATATTAACTTGATGAGGCCAGTGGTAAAGAACATTTCCATTGCAAGATGGTGACAACTGAGCCCATTTTTTCCTGTTGTTTCTAACCACACCAGGTGGATGTATATAAACACTGCAAAAACACACATATTTTATTTATTTATTTATTAGATTTATATACTGCCCATCTAGAATGTGCCTACTCTGGGCGGTTCATACACACACATAAAAACACACACACACACCCCTATTATACACTATAAATGAAGATGCACTTCTGTTCTAACGATAACAGCGGTGACAATAAATTCAGATTAAGTATATTAGACAGAATAAAGTTACAATTTATAAGAGGGAATGAAGGACTGGAACAGACTTATGCAGCATATATAAGAAAAGTCAAAGTGACATTTCTGAGGAAGCAAAGATTCAAACAGGGGTTGCATCATAGTTCTATTTACAGAAATACATCATGCAGACTTTGAGACCATACTAAGATCAAATCCTCTCTAAATGAATCCCTATTGCTCTGCTTCAGCATTATACACTGAAAGATTCCCTAATACCTAACTAACAGTATTAAGGAGTAGTCCTTGCTACCAGTTTCTCTTCAGCACACCTGCAGAATAATATCCTGAAGCCTTCTAATGGTTATTTCCCATTTTATGTTCTGCACTCTCTTTTCTGTTGTCAACTATATGTGTGTTTGTACCTATCCCAATGTTTTGCTGTCCTGCCCCCTTCTCTCACACACCTCCACATATTGGCTGCAGAGCACTGTGAGCTGCTCAATCTGTTAAAACTATGCCACTGTGTTTATCATACCTGAAAGACAGCTTATCTAACAGGATGAAGGAATGGATGCTATACTCTTGTGCAGTGTGTCTACAAGGGATTATAGTTATTTTTAAAGTTTTTTAAATAAAATATATCTGAAAGGATCCCAGAGGGTATCAACAGCTGACATGCTTCATAAACTGCAGCAAATCCTGTCTTTGAAGACAACGGTTCAGAGATCAACTTGATCGTGAAGCTAAATAAGATCAACTTATTTTAACTTCCTACAGAAATAGCATCCACTTTTCCCCTTTTCTCTCATGGGCATACAACCAACATAAAAGAGTCTACCATCCTCAACCTGAAGAAAATCATGGAAACTTTTGGCTGTTGCCATTATGAAGGGCAAAGAAGGGCAAAATGAAGGATCAGGATTCGAGATGGACACGAGCCAAAAAAAATGACAAATCATGGGTAGCTACCCACAAACCACCCCTGAACCCTGGAAAAATGAACCGGTTTGTGGGTCATTTTCCCCCAGTATGTGCCTGGCAGAGGGGAACCTAATGCTTTCATGCCCCCCCTGCTGTCCGCCCACCCCTTCCCAATGCCCTTGTCACCTCTCTACCTCTTCCTGCTACCTCCTTCTCTTCCTTCTCCACTGCCGGCGCATGTAGCCAGGCTTCCTTTCTATTTTTCATTTTTCTTCTGGTCTAGCAAAGTGCTGTCGGGCACTCAAAATAATTTAAGGATTTTCCACTGCCAATTGCAAAGACAAGACAGCTGTCAATCAAAATGACCAGACCACACATAAAATAGTTATACTAAATGAAAGAATTATCAAAGCTTCCCAGTAGGTCACGAAATGCAATGAGGTACAGAAGAGGGGAATGAAAGGACAACTTGCTTACCTCTAACTGTAGTTCTACAGCCTAAAGAGAATGTTAGTCCATACACATACTCCCCATCCTGTAGCTAATCCACAGTTCCCCTGTCTACTGCTGATATAGAAAAAACACTTGTGTGGCAGACTGAGGGGAGGATGGGTGGGGTTGTGCAAATTCAAGTGACCACCTGAAGAAATACTGTTACAGGTAAGCAACCTGTCCTTCTTCTTTGTGTATTCTGTGACTCATACATATGGATGACTGACAAACTTACTGGCTGGTGGGATGTCAAGGGATTGCTGCTGTGCCGAATGCTCTGACATCCAGTCTATAAAGTTTGAGGAAAGTTGAAGTTGCTGCTTCACAAAGTCTCTCAGTTGAATTCCTCAAGTGAACAATTCTAGGACATGCCTAGAAGCATGCCTTTTTAAAGAATCGGGCACTGGCTTTCTTGCTATTTATCTATTTATCTATTTATCTATCTATCTATTTATATCCCGCCCATCTGGTCTATACGACCACTCTAGGTAAGGTAAGGTGATAGTGCTAACTCTGTGATGTAATACGCTCACCTTTGATACTTGACAACTCACAAAAAGTCTAATAGACTTTCAGAAGTGTCTCATTCTCAACACGTAAAAGGCCAACATCCTGCGGACATCCAAGTTATAAAGCAAGTTTTCCACCACCAAGGTGAGTGAAGAGAAAAAAGAAGGGAGTATCATCGTTTGATTTCGGTGAACGTTGGAGACTACTTTAGGTAGGAAAGAAAAATCAGAAAACAGTTGTCACCTTATCCTTATGGAAGTGTAGGAAAAGTGGGTCATGTCGGAGGATGCAGAGTTGGCTAGCCCTGCATACCAAAGGGACTGCAACCAGGAACATGGTCTTGTAAGTCAGCAACCTGAGATCTGGAGTTGCCATGGGCTCAAATGGCAGTTTCACAAGTTGTGTAGGCATTAAGGTAAGTGACCACTTGTGTAAGTACTAAGGTAAGTGACCACTACAGCGGCAGGGCTCTGGTGGCTGGGTAAACCTTTGTTAGACTCTTCAAAAGTCCTTTGAGGGTGGGTTTCCAAAAAAAGTGAGAAGCTGCAGAACCTTGAGCCTGATATGCCACAATCACTGACAAGCAGACTGTAATAGACGAATGGGATAATCCTCTCTCCTTCAAGTGCTGCAAGAAATGGAGAGCCATGTGAAGCTTAGATGGAAGGTAGGGTTGCTGCAGTGATTATGTAAAATCTATGCATTTTCCACATTATAATTACTCCTGGTGAGCAAAATTATTAATTCTGGCGCATTCCCCAAACTGCCTGTCTCACCTGGGCTAAGTCCAGGTGATGGACTGACTGTCCCTTGGTCCTGTGTGATCCAGCACAGAATTAATGATAGGTGATACATATCCACTTGCCATGTGCCTGAGAATTGCGAACCAGGGCTGCCTTATTTTATTGATTTACAAGATTTTTTTTTAGCCACACCATCACCAGTGGCCTCTGAGCGGCATACAACATCAAAACTTTAAAAACATTAAAACTATTCTGTGACTCATACATATGGATGACTGACAAACTTACTGGCTGGTGGGATGTCAAGGGATTGCTGCTGTGCCGAATGCCCTGACATCCAGTCTATAAAGTTTGAGGAAAGTTGAAGTTGCTGCTTCACAAAGTCTCTCAGTTGAATTCCTCAAGTGAACAATTCTAGGACATGCCTAGAAGCATGCCTTTTTAAAGAATCGGGCACTGGTGCGGATCTCATAGGGAGGGGGGCAGCAGTCGAGAAGGCCCTATTTCAACATGCCACCCCCCTCACCTCTTTCAGGGATGGCACCTTCAGATTAGCATCCATGGGACCCCCAGTATTGCACTGACCTTCTCCTGGCAGAGTTTTATTACTACTCTGTGCAGTAGAGGCAGTGGAGGAAAAAAACAAAATAGTTTCAGTGTCCAACAAGCCATAAAGGTGTCTCCCAGCAATTTTTTTCCATGACCTGCCCATGAAAAGTACTTTCTGCATTTCCTATTGATTCAGGTTGCAATCCAATCTACCGCTGAACACATCTGGGGACAGCTCCCATAATAGTTTGAATGTGGTGTGGTTTCAAATGCCTCTGCCCATAAGAGGGAACTCTTTTCTTTCTGGGTCAAGGCAGTGTCAGAGGGTGAGCCATGAGACTGCTCTCAGAATATGAGCAACTCTTCAGTCTGCACACCCCTTGGGTTCTGTAAAGGGTGGAGAGCGTTTGCTCAGAGTTTCCTGACTCAGCTAGCTCCACTCCGGGGAGTGGATGAATGCAGGTGAAGAGACATGACTTTGTGACCTTTCCTCCTGGGATGTGGAACCCAAGCAGACTAAGTCATCTGGGTCATCAGTGTTTATTATGAGGTGAGCGCTGATGTGGAAAAGGATGAGATGTTGATGCCGTGGAGATTAGTGTTTGATGGCCTTAGATTTAGTCTTGGTCCTTTCAGGTTGGCTCTCCAAGTCTGTAGGCTTCATTCCTTTTCTTTTGCATGGAAGCTATTGCTTCCTTAGATATTGGTATTGATTTTGACACCAAAGGCTTGTCCTTGACACCAGGGGTTGATGTCTCCGGGCTAGGCTGTAAAGTCTAAATTGGTGGATCCTCATGGGGTCTTGCCAAGGTTGTTTTACATTCAATTGCCTCCATCAATATCCACTTGGATGGAGTTTTACAAATAGAACCTGTAGAAATTGAAGTAGTTTGCTTAGTGATCATGTCAAGCACTTGTAACAATTTGTCCCAGAGGCAGAATTTAAAGTGGGACTGCCTGCTCTTGACAGCTACTTTGGTGAACTTTCAGCATATCTGGCAATTCTGTGTTTGATGCCCCTCACCTGGGTAGCAAAGGCACTTGGATCATCCATCAGTATTTTATTTGTGCAAGTAACACACTTCTTAAATAGGCCTGCTGGGAACATAAACACGATGAAGACAACTATATATATCTTTAAACAAAGAACGAAGGATAGTGAAAGCTGCTACCTCAATGGCAGCAAAAAGGGAACTGAGGATTAGTTACAGGGTGGGAAGCATGCACAATGGAGAGCATGTTCATCTTGAAGGTTCAGAAGATGTGTGTGAAAGGAATCCACATGTGTGAATTCACAGGGACCAAAAAAACACACATGTTTTTATTCAACTATCTTATCAAAGAAGGCTGCTATCTTTTTTCCAGATCGAATGGAAAGGCATCTCTTTGCTGTGTGGCACTTCTGATAAATGTTATTTGTTGGGAAATGCATTGTTTAAAATGCTAGCCATAAAGCTCTGTACCTAGCAATAGGGAAGTCTTCCAATGGCCATAAATGGTCATTGATGGTGTTCTTTCTTAATTTTGTTTAGCCATAAAAATTGTAACATTTCTAATGAAGAAAATGTTGAAACAACCCAAAAAGCCAAAATGAAAAATGATTGACCTTTACCTACAACAGGATTATAACATCTGAATGCCCATAAGTATCTGAATTTGCTTTCATCTATGTCATTCCAAAGTCCAAGGAGCCAGAAAACAGTCATGAGGAAATTAACCAGGTTAGAAACACCTGGAGAGCAAGGACCAAGGAATGAATTCACTCAAATGAAGCCACTTGACCCACAACAGAAATCCCAGTCATGTGATCCCCAAATGAATCCAAAATTCTGAACCTGAATAAACATTGTTTCATAAACAAAGAGGGTATTAGTTTAATTAACACAGAAATGTGGGCTTGATCAGAATAATTTAAAAGCAAAGTCAGGGCCCAGCAATAGTCTTCTTTATCTTTCTCTTCCCGTCCAGAAACTGGATGCAGCTCTTGAGCCCAAAAGGGTTAAACAGCAATGTCTCAAGCTGATAGCAGTTGCTTTGTTCTTAAAATAAGGCTACCACAGAAGAAACCCCAATTTTTGCAGTTTAAGGAGACCTCAGCATGTTTAAACAAGAATTGGTTACAGACCTCTAGCAGATGAAGATAAAAACTGGGAATCAGGTGGTCTGGCCTTGTCCTACAATTGTGCTATTTTTGGTTTGACATTCATAAGATTATTAAAATTAGTCTATAACAATCACTATTTGATAAAACACAAATGTTCACTTAAACTATATCACTAATATATAGAATCTTTCTTCATATCAAAAGTATGGAGCGGAAAGAGCATTTTTATATCTTATGAATGTTATGTTATATGTTTTACTTTATTTTTATTATTTGATTGATACAACATTTTTATTATTTTTGGTACAGCACTGGAAGGACAGATCCACTCTTGATTCACAACACTGAGTATAGGTGCAGGAGACACATTATTTAATTAGTAATGCCTCGCAAGACGATGTTAATGATGTTTGCATTCACTCTTTTTAACATAGAGACAGGGCAGAGCACTTTCAAACAATTTCATCTGCTTTAATTAGTTGCTTACCTTCTAATTATATAATTTTCAAATGTCTTTTTTCCTTTCCCCTCTCCTGTTTTTACCATTTTCTTTATATATCAATGCACTAGATCACCTTCCTTTCCTCCCTTTCAATTTTCATTTAATAAAGATTTCTGAAAGTTAAAAATAATACTGTCTTTGTCATTAATAATTTTACTTCAAAATCCCATTGAAATAAAGAGGCTTTCTTCCAAATCAATGGCTTTAGGATTCAGGGGCGAAATGTACTAAGATGGCAAGTTAGAAGTTGATTTTTTGAAAAAAAAATTATGACACCTTCACTTACTCATGTTAACCAGCCATGTGTTGTCATGCATGTCATACACTGTGGAAGGCTACTGAGGAAAGAGGTGCTTGCCATGTTGATTTTTCAGACAAACCTTTCCTGCCTGTGCTTCAACCTCTCCTTTTTTCCTCTAAAGCAGAAGAGAGAAATCAGATATTCTTCTGACTTCTCAGCCATTTTCCACTGCCTTTTTTTCAAAGCACAGAAGAGATATGTGAGAGTAAGAGCAGGTGTCCTGCCAAAGACCATAAGGGGAAGGTCATGGCTGAGAAGAGATCTGAGCAGGGATTCTCCACCACCTTCCTTTAATCAGTTGCACAAAAAACCCCACAGATTTTATAAGTGGGATGGGGTTTATATGAGTAGGAGGAGAGAGTAAGAAAAAGTTTGGAATTAAGAGTCAGAAACCCAACAGGGATTAAATATCATAACCAAGCAGGCTCTCTTCCTGGATCTTGCCTGAGGAGGCATCCATAGACAAACCAATGAAGCACATTTCTAAAGCTTGCCCCCAACCTCCATGCATTTGTTTCTTCTCTACCAAGTTGATCTCTGACAAAGACAGTCTATTCTGCAGTTAGGAGGAATGAACGTTTCGTGGATGCTGTTCGCATCGCTCTGGTGAGAGAAGGATAACAAAATCTGGATTTTACTACCATCGAAACATGGGAACCGAAAACCCCTATTGGTAACTGAACTGAATGTCTACTATCAAGTGTAGTCAAGTCCTACATCTCTTTCTCATCCTGACATTCCACCCCAAGAACCCTGTGAAATAAAGGCTGTGGAATCTTGCTTGGACACCAGAAGAATATATGAAGTAACAGAACTCTGCTCACCCCTCCATCCGATCCTCCAAGGGATAGTCCCCTCTCTGCTATTCTGTGGATGAAACAACAGTCTCAAAACAAGGTTCTGGCACAATTGTTTACTACTTAGCACTGTGTATCATGTAAGACTTGTCCTCATTGGTAGGGAAGAAACAGCTTAGTTTTACAGCCTTTTTTCTCTTTCTCTCTCTCTTTTTCATACACACGCATGGAGACCATGCTTTTAATAACAGAAACAACTTACCTTTTAAACCCTGGTGATGAGCATCAAGATTATAGAAAGTGGGGCTTCAAATCATCTCCAGGGTAGGGTCACTGTGAAGAAGCCAAGACAATTGCTCCTTTTCTTAGTGCGAAGGCATCTGAGCTATGTATCCTGAGTCCTAGACATGGGCATGAACCGCCTGTTTGGTGGTTCATGCATATTTGTTTACTGGCCAAACAGCTATTCAGTGATTCCTAGCCCCGCCTCCTCTGGCAGGTGCCCACTCAGAGCCAGTGCCCATGGTTCTCCTACCCCGCCTCCTCTGGGTGCTGCCTTTGAGTAGGTGCCAGACAAGGCGGGGCTAGGAGGTCCTGGACACCTGTTCAGTCGGTAAATGAACCAGCATGAACTGCTGAGCTAGCCGTTTGTGCCCATCTCTAATTCTGACTACAAGGGCAATTTATAGCAGCAGCATTGTAACATGGCTCTGTTGGAATATAAGAGCCTGTATGAAGAGGAGGAAGAGTTTAATATTCGTTGAATCTAGATGGGCGGGGTAAAAGCAAGAAAATAAATAAAACTGAATAAATAATATCTCAGTTGAGGCACGTGATGTGGCCCAAGTTTACTGCTGAAAATGATGAGAAATTAGAAAGCAACTAATGAACGAAATCTGTTACTTTCTTACAGTTTACAGAAGAGCAGTCACACAACAGCCCATTCGAGATGTACATTTCCTTGCCTGCAGACCAGTTTGACAAAGGGGACCAACCACAGGAATAGTGCGCCTTTGCTTGCTTAATGTCTTGCAGTAGAACACATATCTGAACTTTGCTTTAATAGAGGCTACATGCCTGCTCCAAAATGGAAACTTCCCCATAAGAAAACAGGCTATCGGTGATTTGGGCTTAAGGCATACAGTGGCTTGGTCACGTCTGAGCACATGGGGAATGATTGGAGAACACTTACTTCAAATTCTGTCTAGCCTCAACAATAGTTCATGTTGCTGCCAACATTACAACCAGAGGGGCTATAAAGAGCAATGGCAAAAATGCACACTCCAAAAGAAAGGGCTTTGTCCCAGGTTCTATCTACACAAGTTCCAATGGGATTAGCTTTCCGTGACAAGCTCAAACAACCTGCAACGGTATCTCTACCAATAATTTTTGTACCCCCCCCCCACACACACACAGGTTATTTACTTGTAAGGTATAAATCTATCCTTTCCCCAAGGGATAGTACTCTATGAAAAGCATCTTTAACTTTTATTATCAGTTCACCACATGATACATTTTGTCAAGTCTTCAAACAAACAATTTAATTTCTAAAAGGAAAAATTACCTACGGATTCTCTCAGCTTCCTCTCTGTTGATTAGGGCATCTGTAACCCCCCTTCCACACTTCCGAGGGGTGCAACCTAGAAGAGGCATATACAGAAACATGGGAGGGTTGGGGAATTAAGCATCTTTTAGCTGCTTCACCTGCATTCAGACATAATCAAATATCTGTTCTATTTAGAAGTTCTCCTGAATTCTATGGTGGTATTTCCAACAAAAGTTCTTCTAAATCTGTCAAAACAGTTGTGAAGAGGTTGAAAGATGTTTACAATAAAATAACCTTCTCTCCCAGTTTTATAGTTGACGATCTGAGACTTATAATAATAAGCCTCCATTTTCAGTGGCACCATCTTCCAAATCTTCCCTGCATGTCACACATGCATAAGGTGCAGTGTGTTGAATATTAGACCATTTACAGCTATTCCTTTTGTATCTACTGGTTTGTCTGTTGTGGGGTTGTTGGTCTACAGAGCTTTAAGGACTTCAGCTACAAATTAAACATGCATCTGAAAAAGTAGGCTGGTGTCACTGGAACAGCTTATGACAAGCAAAATTTGGTACTCTTTAAGATGCCACAAAACTCTGTGTTGGCTTAGCAACAATAGACCACAGACCAACAAAGTTGACCCTCTGCAAATTTCTGCCATTGTAAATAGGTTTCTAATGTTCATGCATGTAGAAGAAACCTTGAATGAAACAACTGGGAGATCATCACCTAAACATCACCCACGAACCAAAAGGAACACTAACATCCATTATTCATGTCACATGTTCCTGTAATAGTGAATTTACATAACTCTAATATCAAAAGCCTAAACACCGTGACAGCATGCCCTATGCTTCCCTTTGTTTCACCAGAATCACCATTATTTTGACAATTTCTTTTAAAAGAAACCATATTCTGCCACAGAACAAAACAAAGCTCCTTGATTTGAAGGACAAATGTGAGGTTTTGGGTTCATAGATCAGGCCTCTGATACCTATCCATGCCCACTACAATTACTCTTAGCGTAATTCTCTCAGTGGCTCAGGCATGTAATGGGAAGTAATAAGGGTACTTCATTTCAGTTTACTTTATTGTCTTCTACCTCTCATGTATAAGCAGGAGGGCTGACATTTTAGTCAAATAGTCTAGAAGGATGGCTGCTCTGTTTGGAATGATTCGCTTCTGTACATGAACCATGTAAATAATTCTTCGGCAGGTGCATATTCCTTCTTTTTGCCAGAACAACTTGCTGCAGAAATACGAAGGCGAAGATTCCAAGCAAGATCCCTTAACTAATCCACCAAAAGAAGCTGACTTGGTATGCAGTGTTGTCCAGCACTGACCAGCTGCCGCAAACACTACAGTCTCTCAACAGAGGATGTCACAGTCAGACAGCACACACGGTCTCTGGAAGTATTCTGGGCTTCTCAAAACTCCAGCAGATTGAAGGTCCATATTTATGATAGAATTTTAAGGTGACTTTGAAGACGATGAAGTCATTATTTGAAACAAATTCAATCATCTTTAGTCATGCCTTCCATGCCAAATGGAAGAATTCAAGGATAAAATATAAAAAAGAAATGCTCAAAACTCTTCAAGAAACAACACTAGGTCCTGAAGCGGCAGAAATGGACATTTTATCAGAAGTGTTGAAAGACTGTCGGATACAAAAGGCAACTGAACGATGGGATTTATTTTAGAAATGGTTCAAGTCACTAGATAGTGTTTGAATAATATAGATCTTAACTAGGATGTAAATGTGACTTAAAACTTGGGAGGGCAGCCAATAGCAGAAAAGAGGAAAGTTTGATTTTGAGCTAGGATGTAAATGTGAATTAAAACTTGGGAGGGCAGCCAATAGTAGAAAAGAGGAAAGTTTGATTTTGAGATTGCAATATGAATAGATTGGATGTCAGTAAATTTTGTGTTTTCCTCCCCCTCCTTTTTTCCCCTTACACCCCCCTTTACCCTCTGTATCCCATACCTTATCGCAAGTTATTAAACAAACAAACAACACTAGGTCTTAAAATTGCAACTTATTTCCAAAAATACCCATTCTGAATTCTTCCAGTAAACTAAGCAATCAAGAGAGGCACCTTTCACATAGTAACTTTTTGTTATTTTATGCGAGTTGCCCATCTTAACAATCCAGCCTGCCCGTTTTTCTTCTCTGGACGTTTACAGCTTCATCCCAACATTGCAGAAAGGAGCAAGGGAAGAAGTATTGATTAAATGTCCAGCGAAGTTAGCAACAAATACTGAATCATGAGGTTGATCTTTGAGAAGAAATGAAGCCCCTAAGACTTCACTTTTTCAACATTCAGAAGGAAACTTTTTCAAAAACCCTAAGAACTGTGATGGGGTATGGAGGCCGCACTTCTGAAACATAAACAAAATTGTCACAGTGATATCTTGTTTAAGTGAGATAGGAATCCTTGGGACCACATATCAACATTAAAATCTGCCTATTAAGCAAGAACTAAGCAGTGATTTCATCTCCACTTTGCACTGCAGGGGAAGGGGGAAGCTTCTGGGCACACTTGAAGTAAGGTGGCCCCTGTTCTCTGTAGTCAGAAAAAGTTGCTTACTGATCATCTGTATAAAAACAACAGTGAAGAGGCAAAGATAGTTTTCTTCCTCTACAGCGAGAAACTAGAAAGCTACAGGAGCTGAGGAAAGGATAAAAAAAATCATCCTTCTAAATATCACACAGTTACAAGGCAGATTAGATTTAAATCAGTTAATTTCCCTCATGGTCACTACAATCTTAATACAATAATCTTCTATATACTGACACTTCCAGCTGAGAAGCTGCAAAGGGACAATAATTGGGTTGCCACTCCAAAGAAATAAGGATCATTCCAGGAAAATGAAGATTTTATTAGAACTCCCATGCATGTCCAACATTCTATCATGGCAGGGGGTGGAGAGCTCCAGAAATGACTTTAAACAAGTTGGAAAATGGGGCTGATCAGGTCTGTCATTTCTTCCCTCCATGTATTTATGATAGCAAGTATTATCTCTGAAGTCACAGGCCCAGTTTGAAAACTGTAAAATTTTCTGATGGAATTATCTAAACTAAGCAAATACTGTACTTGGAGAGACAGACAGATTAACCTATACAGATATTTATGGAATACAACAAAATTGAAGACTAAATTCAAGATCTATTGGATTCTACCTTAAAATGTATTTAAAAGATTATGAGAAACAAAACAGAATTAGAATTTATTCCAGAATGTCATATTTGAGCTGTAACACATCTTAAATTAAAACTATCATCACATAAGGTTTTTTTTTTAAAAAAACCCTTTTTTTCAGCAATACAGATTTTGAAAAATCTGATCAAAATTTTAAAATCCAAATGAACTTCAAAAACAACTTCACATAAGGGTATTTTTTTAAAAAAAAACTTTTTTTTCAGCAATACAGATTTTGAAAAATCTGATCAAAATTTTAAAATCCAAATGAACTTCAAAAACAACTGTTTAAAAAAAGAACATTACGCTGTGGTTTTGGAGAAAACAGGTGTGATAGGAAGAAGAGGTGTCAACTGCTGAAATATTGGCCGAGAGGGAAGGAATCTTTCCTTCTACTTCTAAAGTGGCTCTATGACACGTCCAAGGTGGTAGGAAGCACTTGCAAAACAGCATCCCAAGCGCTGCTTGGCCCTCTCTTTGCCTGCTTTTAAAACAAACACTTACAGCTTTTCTATTCCAACAGCATTTTTTCCTTTAAATTCAAAACATTTGATTTTATAGTTTTAGTTGACTGTTGCCAACACAGTTTCATGATGCTGTTTTACAGGATCTCATGATGCTGTTTTATGAGAATGTCTTTACTGCCTTTCTTTTGTTTTATGGTAAGGACTTTTATCAGTGTTCATCTGATTTTTATTTGCAAGCTGCCTGGACATCATTTTTATCATTTTCCTTCTACAGTACTTCTAAAGTGGCTCTATGACACATCCAAGGTGGTAGGAAGCACTTGCAAAACAGCATCCCAAGCGCTGCTTGGCCCTCTCTTTGCCTGCTTTTAAAACAAACACTTAGAGCTTTTCTATTCCAACAGCATTTTTTCCTTTAAATTCAAAACATTTGATTTTATAGTTTTAGTTGACTGTTGCCAACACAGTTTCATGATGCTGTTTTACAGGATCTCATGATGCTGTTTTATGAGAATGTCTTTACTGCCTTTCTTTTGTTTTATGGTAAGGACTTTTATCAGTGTTCATCTGATTTTTATTTGCAAGCTGCCTGAACATCATTTTTATCACAGATAAGCCAAATATGTCTACATATATGAATAAATACAGTATGTACTCAGTGGTCAACTAACTAGCTTGCCAATAATCTGGTTCTAAGCAATGGATAAAATTCTGACAGGCAGGAAACAAGGTACTGTACAATTAGGCACACACTTCCAGTTCCAGTCCCATGCTAGATCGGATCTGGACAGGCACCAAGTTAGGCATTGTATTTATCTAAGCAGACAGACACAGACTGCTGCATGAATACTAAGTCCTTTTCTAACATCAGGTTGGAGAAGGGAAGCCAGAATTGTAAGCATCTCAGGAGTGCCCTCAAGTGGGAATTCAGTAAAGTTAGAGTGCAGAAAGGAAACCATGAAAACACAAAGAAACCCACAAGATCAGGCCAAAAGCTAATCTAGTCCAGCAGCTTCATCCCCATAAACTGAGGTCCTGGTATTACCAAAAAGGATAAACAACTTCTACCTATGCATTTCTTCTAAAATTCTATATCCTTTTTTCTTAAACCTAAAAGACCTAAATATTGTACCCTTTCTTCATGGGAAGATCTTCAGACCTCTGACAATTTGATTGCTTTTTTCCAGATCCATAATATCATTTTGCCCCTTCATGGATTGCTGCCTTGTTAATTTGATTTTTTTTCCAGATCCATAATATCAGCAACCAAACTATGTGGAGTATTTCAAGCATGGCATCACTACATGTGCACATGAAAGCATTACTGCATTGGTAGTTTTATATTTGTCCTCTCCTAGTGATCCATGATGGAGAACTTGCCTTTTCCATAGCTGCTTCACATTGGGTCAAAGTTCAGTTTTGTAATCGGTCTCAGATTGGTTGATTTGTAATTTGGCAATACAGCCTAAAATTTCATACCCTGTCACCACTGTTTGGTCCAGTTGTTCGCACATGAAAGCATTACTGCATTGGTAGTTTTATATTTGTCCTCTCCTAGTGATCCATGATGGAGAACTTGCCTTTTCCATAGCTGCTTCACATTGGGTCAAAGTTCAGTTTTGTAATCGGTCTCAGATTGGTTGATTTGTAATTTGGCAATACAGCCTAAAATTTCATACCCTGTCACCACTGTTTGGTCCAGTTGTTCAGAATCCCTTTTTGAGTTACAGCAACCAAATATGTGGAGTATTTCAAGCATGGCATCACTACATGCGCCTGTCACCACTGTTTGGTCCAGTTGTTCAGAATCCCTTCTTGAGAAAGGCAGTCTGAGCATCACTCTCTGTCCCACATCTTCTATACTAAAGACAGACACAAACAATTCAAAGCCTCTATTCTCCTTTAGCACACCTTGTCACGTAGCACTACTCTAGCTGGCTTCCTACTAGCAATTCAACTCTCAGATTACTTTTCTGCATCTCCAGTTGTTGGCTTGCTTTTTATTTCTGTATTTATTCATTTAGTGAAAAAGCGTGTTCCTCAAAACATTTTCATTCCCTGTATGATACTTCACAGCTCCCGTCAGAATTCCCCAGGATTGTGTTTAAAAGCTTCTCTACAACCTTTTCCATATGAAGTGCCAGCAGTTCTACTTAACTGAAGTGTAACTCTTCTATAAAGAAAGCAGTCATACAACAAAGCCCTATACAGTGATGCCTCGCAAGACGATGTTAATTCGTTCCGCGAAAATCGCTGTTAAGCGAAAACATTGTCTTGCGAAACACGTTTTCCCATTGAAATGCATTGAAAACCTGATAATCCATTCCAATGGGAACAGATTGTCATCGTAAAGCGAAAATTGCCATAGGAAACATTGTTAAGCGAAACGTGGTTCCCAAGCAAAGACAGCTGTCTAACAAAACAGAGACCATTAAAAGACTCATACAGCGAAGCAAAACCAAGCTGTCAAAAACATTGTAAAGCGAAAAACAGGGACCTAAAATTTAACCATCTTGCGAGGCAAGGTCCCTAACATCGTAAAGCAAAAATCACCCATAGGAAACATTGTTAAACAAAGTGCAAGATGGCTCCGAAAATCTCAGCGTAAAGCGAATTTGTCCTTATGCAAAGCAATCGTCTTGCGAGGCACCACTGTATATCCTTGTCCTACCAATCTTTGTCACATTTTGTACAAATTAATATTGAACAGGTTGACAACTACTGATCTACCTAATTACGAAGACCTACCCTGCATATTTAGCATTTCCAGGTATAGTTGTCAAACTTAATATAATCCATCATCTTCTCTTTAAATCTAGATTACAGAAGTAGTTACTGTTGTAACATTTAACTAGTGGTTCTCAATGGAATTTTAGGTATTGAATAAATATTTTGTGTTTTGGGGCACACATGGTTCAACGATTTGTTCTTATGTGCAGTCCTGTCAATTCTGACTTATGGTGATCCTAACATCATTTTTGAGGTTTCTGAGTGATTTATCATTGCCAGCTATGAGGCAATCCAAACCCAGGTTTCCTGAAGCCTGGTCCAATACTCTATTCACTATACTACATTGGTTTTCAGTGAGAAAGACAGGGGCATAGACATCCTTGTCAGTATACAGTCGCACTATGACAAGAGAGCCAAGAACCTCACAACAATGGCTACACAAATGAGCCCACCGAAAACAGGGTTGTTGAAGGGTTACAAGGCATTGTGAGCTCTAGGTATAGCCTAAGCCAAAAGAGAGGGGCATAAACTGAGGCTACAGAAGTCCTGTCAGTCATAGGAGTTGATGGACAATCCCTGGAGAATTGCCTAGAATGGGTATTCATATCTGTAGGATGGCAGACATGAAAAGGGCTTTGCTTCCAGGGACAGAAATAGTGTAGGAAGAGGGGAAGGAGGAGGTGACAGATAGGCAGATGCTGGGGGAAGATCAGTCCCTTGCCCAGGAGGAAAAAAAATCCTCCCTGGAGAAAAACGATTGAAATCCGAGAGTCAGGCAGAAAGGTGGAGGTCTCAGTGCCAGGAAAGGTAACAGGTGTTTTGGACCAACACAAGAGGGACAGATGTTTTCAGACTCAAAGAGGGTTGAACCCCAACCAAGAGGGGCCCAGGAGCTAGAGGAGATGAGAGGGGATGTGGAACCACAAAGAAAAGAGGAGGGGGGGATGATCTAGAAAAATACTGTAGGCATCCTTCCGTCTCGAGAGATTATGGCAGTGATGGCGAACCTATGGCACACGTGCCACAGATGGCACGCAAAGCCATTTCTGCACACACACGAGGCATAAGTCAATGGATCACTACTCCCTCCCCCCCCCCGCAGCCAAACCTGAGAAGGCAGCTGCAGCCATGCTGCTGGTGCTTCTACAGGCAGCGGGCAAGGACCCGGAGTGGGGTCTTGAGGCACCTCCATGCTCGGGATTCTCCTTCCTGCCACCACTTCTGGTTCCGCTACTGCCGTGGCTGGCTGCCTGCCGGTTTGTTTTTTTTAAAAAATTCAGTTTGGGCACTTGGGCCCAAAAAGGTTTGCCATCACTGGACTATGGTAATGTGCTCTGAATAGAGGTCTTGGAACAGCGTCTAGTGTGGCTGAGAAGGCCAATTTGAGAGTGACAATCCCTTCCACACTG